TCTTAACCAATGCGGCCCCTCCTATACTTTGTCTTATTTGGTCTTGACAATCCCATGGGTAGGTAAATAGGGCTGAACCATGAGTGACCAGCAGGGCCGACTCCATTGTACCCTTAGGTGATGCTTATGTGAGCCGCTGAGAGGGAGCTGAGCCTTTCTCAGCATGAGGGGCCCACAGTGCTTGCTGAGATATGGGTGAGCAAACTCCCTGCGTTCTTCCTTGGCTCTGTAGGGGAGTGAGACTCTCGCTGGATGGTTGTGCAGTGTTCCAGCTCCCACTGGGACTGTCTCTGTTACAGGTGCATCAGCGGGTAAATGAGTGTAAACAGGTGTTGAGGATCCTGCAAGACGTCACTGCTGGGAAGACCGTCCTCAACATCTTGCCTGGTGGGTTGGATCTGATGACCTTCAAGGTATGACAGCAACTGGTATGACCTGGAGCTCATGTATTCATCAGGACTTTCTTGGTTACACATAACGGGAACCTACCTAACTCACTAGCTTACACTGAAAGAGAATTTATTGGCTCAAATAACTAGGAAGACCAAAGGCAGACTGGCTTTAAGCCAATGTAGTTAGACAGTGTAGTGTCTCAAACATTCCATCAAAGCTCGGGCACTCCTCTTCCTCGTTCTGGCTTAGCTCCTTCTGTGTATGTGGACTTCAGTCTCATCACAATCTCTCCATTAGGCCAGAAAAGCAGTTGTTGGCAGCCCAAGCGTACATTTCAACTCAGCTCTAGATTTAAAAGGAAAAGAGACTATGTTAGCTTCCACTAATCTGGGAAGGCTGTGGCCCCGTTGGGTCACGTGCCCCTTCTGGCTCCACGTGATGGATTAGCCAGCGGGATGGGCTAGTCCGGTTGGCCTGCCGAGGTTCCATACCTGCCTCTGGGTCAAGGGAACCTGAGCACCAGGACTGACAACCCCACAGGGCCACATGGATGGGGATAAGATGGCCCCTTCCCCGAAGGAAGGGCTGTCAAGCCACAAAAAACCTGTGTTCCCTGCAGCCTAATTCCTTCCTTTGAGGGAGCCCCAGGAACCCCGAGGAGGATAGAAACGTCTCTGGCAGTTTGGTGCCTATTAGGTACATTTTCTTCCCTCACCCGGTCTTTTCTCCCCCTTATTTCAAAAGGAACTCAGGCTCTATTTAGAGAAATAAGAAATCACACAAAAAGCATGAAGAAAAAAGAGGATTTTGTTGACATTTTGATGGTTATCTTTCAGTTCTTTTAAAATTCTTAATATATGTGTGTGTGTGTGTGTGTGTGTGTGTGTGTGTATATTTAAAAACAATAATCTTTTTTAATACAAGCTGTTCTTTGGCCTTGCTATATAAAATAACAATTATTACTTTATACGTAAGAGCTCCTACACAAACCTACGCAGTAAGCATTATCATCTCTTTACATAGAAAAAAAACAAAAATCAAAGAGGCTAAGTATCTAACCAAGGTTACACAGCTAAGTAAATAGTAGAGTTAAAATTTAAATTGGAGCTCTTGGATTCCAAAGCCTGTGCTGTGTGTTCCAAAGCCTCTTTAAAACTTTTGAAGGCTCTGGTCTTCCAGGGAGAAGCAGCTGCCCGGACGGCCAGTAGGTAAGGCAGAAGCTGACATCTAGAGTGCTTTAGCAGCTATAATATTTGCGGTGTGTCTGTCAACCAGATAAGCAGGGCGCCCAGGCACTGAAGTGTAGCCTGTGTGCCTGGGAGCGTGATGGATTAGTTAAGAGGTGGCCTTTTGGAGACACTCAAAATTTAAAAAGCTAAGTATATTTTTACCTATGAGATTGACTAAGATCTGAAAATTGATTACTCACGCTGGTGGCAAAGCTGTGGGGAAGTAGATACTTTCCTACATTGCGGGTGAGAGTACAGATTGCCCCATGCAGGGTGGTTTGGCAATAGCTATTAACAGTACAAACGCTCATATTCCTTGACACAGCAATTTCCAGTTCTGGGCATTTATTCTACACATATCTGCACATATGCAGCATGATGTACATACAAGGTTATTCATTCCTGTGTTGTTTGTACTAGCAAGAGATTGATAGATAGCATCCTGAATGTTCACCAATAAGGGAACTAGCTTAATGAATTATGGGACAATGGATTTATTTGATTGGGTAATGATAATTGCTGTAACACGTAAGCCCCAAATCTCATTGGCTTAACACAGTAGAAATTTATTTCCCTCCCACATAAAGTCCAAAGGGGGTGTTCCTGTGTAAGGGGTGACTCAGGGATCCGGGCTCCTTCCATCTTACAGCTCTACCCTCATCCACCTGTGAAACCCAACTTCACTGTGTACGTTAGTCAGGAATGGGAAAGGGCGTGGAGGTTTGTATGAAAGAGTTTGTGGGGAGTAGGCCTGGAAGTGGAGATTTCATTGTCACTCACATTCTGTTGGCTAGAACTTAGTCACAGGGCCACACCTAACTGCAGGGAAATAGCGTCTAGCTGTGCGTCCAGGAAAAGAGAAACAGCTTTGGTGATCACCAGCTATCTGTACCATGGCGAAATCAAATGTAGCTGTAAAAAAAAGATAAGGAAGCTCTTTATGTACTAATATTATGCAAAAAGGTAAAATACAATATGACTTGTGTAAAAAGGGGGGAAGTATATACTCATGGTTACCTGTGTATGTATAAGTAAGTTCTGCAAAGACACGTAAGAAACTTAGCTGTTTGGGGGCATGGAGTGGGCAGCTGTGTGGAAAGGGAATGTGGTACGTGGGAGATTTCTCTATATACTCCTGACTCTAGGTTATATGAATATATTAACATAAAAAATACCCAAAGAGGTCACCAACCATGTTGCTGATCTAGAGACACTGATGGGGCAGTGGGGGGAATTTAGATATCAAGCCTTGATAGAAATTGGGGAGAGCAGGGGTTCAGGGCAGAGGCTGGGCAGCAAAGCCTAGAGAGATTTCCCGAACCCCTTAGCAGGCAGCTGCAGTGGCTTTTTATATAACCATGCCCTGAAGGCTTCTAGGGACAACCAGAAATAGAGCGAACACACTCACTCTCTGCTGGGTACAGGTCAGGACAGAGATCCAGAGGAAGTCGGACCTGAGCTGGTGTCTGTACCAGCAGGCCTTGCTTCAGAGCAGAGTGGACGGGCCGCAGGAGGTCCTCCTTCCGCCCCTGACTTGGAGCATGTGCCATCCCGTTGGACTGATTTTAAGACAGGTATCTAGAAGATGGAAAGAGTTCTTAACTCTTAATCTGCTCATAGACTGATGGGTCCCTGTGGAGTCACAATACTTTTATCTATTCATAGATACTTGAATACCCAGGTAGTGTAGGTGGTAAGATTACAAAAATAAAGATGAAAAACATGGATTTCAGAATTCCTTCCTATAGAAGACCGTTCAGTCCAGGGATGGCCTGACAGAGTGCTCTCCAATGGACAGGAAGTTCATAATAGTGTAGTGGGGGGGAGGGGTAAGGGGGGGGCCCACCCACTGAATTGTGCTTCTGCATCATTGTCTCACTGTTTTCTTCCTCTTGCCCCCGAAGAATTCCTAAAAAAAACACCCCTGTGTTTCTGACTTGGCTAAGTTCTCTGCTTTCCTCAGGGTAGCATCGACACGAGCCGCATGGCTGTAATGGGACATTCATTTGGAGGAGCCACAGCTATTCTGGCTTTGGCCAAGGAGACCCAATTTCGGTGAGTTGCCCAGTGATGCTGCTGTTAGCTCCACACAGCATTCATTCATTCACCAAGTATTTGTTATACAAGTATTATGTTCTAGGTGCTGTTTGGGGGGCTGGGGATTCAGTGGTGAACAAAGAAGGTTTTCATAGAATTATGTTATTGCAGGAGGAAACAGGCTAGTAAATAAGCTAACAGGTAACCAAATCCCCAGCACCCACGTGCAATGAAGAAAATAGAATAGGCTGATATGCTAGAGTAACCTGGAGGCTTCTTTGGAAAGTGGCATAAACCAAGACTCGAAAGGTAAAGAAGCCAGCCACATAAAGGTCTAAGGGAAGATCATTCCGGGCAGAGGGAACAGCTAATGCAAAGGCCCTGAGGTGGAAAGAAGCTTGCTGTGTCATTGTGGGAGGAGCATGGTGAGTGGGGGAGGAGATGAAAGATGTGATCAGAGAGATTTTATTCTAAGTACAATGGGAAACCACTGAAGGATATTAAGGAGCGAAAAATCTTACCTACATTTAAAAACATCCCTCTGGCTACTGTGTGAAGAGTGGATTGTAGGAGGACCAGACTGAAAACAAGGAGCCTAGTTAGAGGGAGGCTATTTCAGAGTCAAGGTGTGCGGTGATGGATTTGCATTAGGATGGAGGTAGTGGGAAGGAGAGTTGCAGGGAGTCAGGATATGTTTCAGAATTTTCAGGACTATGTGATGTATGAGGTGAAGGGAAGAGGAATCAAGGTTTTTCATTTGTCTCTTCATCATTTGAGTGGATGATGATTGTCCTTTACTGAGATGGGGAAGGCTGAAGGAGCATTTGGGGCGAGGAGAGGCTTATCCTAGGGCCTGAGTTTTGCTGATCAGAGATCACTGCGTGACAAACTGGCCAGGGCTTTCTTGCCATGTATGCTTTGGGCTTACATAGCAACTTGTGTAATTAGGGTGCTGAGCTGTACTTTGGTACCTTGCCTGCTCTGTCTCCCCTTCCAGACTAGGAGCTCCTTGAGAGCAAGAACTGTCATGTATCTCTGTGTCCAGAGCACAGGGCTAAGCACATAGTAGGTACTCATTGAATGTCGAATCAGTGAATGATTAAATGAATGAAGTGCCTTTCTGTGTAACTGAAGTCAGCTGCCTGAGAGTATTACAGATCCAGGGAAAGGAGAAGGTCTGATCCTTGCTTTCAGTGAGTTTAAAATCTGGAAGGATCTTTGGCAACAGGTAAAAGTGATCTCTAGCCAAGATCCTAACTGAAGGGTGTGGGCCCTGGTACCCCCTTCCTGGCTTTCTGAGCCTTCACCCCGTAAAGGGAAGAACTCTGCCCCTTCCCCCATTGCCATAACTGCTCTTTCCCTGGTTTCTGCATGGTAGTTTCAAATTGGTTCTGTTCCAGGTGTGCTGTGGCCCTGGATGCTTGGATGTTTCCTCTGGAGCGTGACTTCTACCCGAAAGCCCGAGGCCCTGTATTCTTCATCAATGCTGAGAAATTCCAGACAGTGGAGAGTGTCAGCTTGATGAAGAAGATATGTGCTCGGCATGATCAATCGAGGATCATAACTGTGCTGTGAGTAAAGCCCAAGGTCATGATCCCCAGTATCCTCTCCATTTTCTACCCAGCTATGGCTCCCTTGGTTACTCGTGAATTATCCAGAAGTTGTACTTATTAATAGAACACCTGAAGACAACCCGAATTTCAAAATCTTAATTTCTTTCGAATTTCATATCTGGCCTTCTCCACTTAGCTCCATGTACAGTGATTTTTTTTCAGTAGTTCATATGACTTTGTGACAGGATTTATCTGTTGCTTTCTGGGAAAGGGGTATTATGGGATTGTGTGTTGGGGAGGAGGAGGTGTGGGTCTTGGGGGGACTCCAGAGACCTCTCACATCATTTGGGAATTTTATTGGGTCTTTTGAAGAGTGGTGGATATTCACAAGCTAGATTTCCAGAGACCTTCATTAATACCTAAATTCAGATATCTTCCATAAACCACCTCTATTCTGGCTAAGAGAAACCACATTCTCTTCACTGCCATCACCAGCACTATCACACAGTTTTGTTTCCGAAGCCATTTTTCACAGAAAATTTTTGAGGGGCTTTAAGAAATGGCCTGTGCATACAAAGTGGCCTAGAGCTCCAGGGGCAGGGCTGGAGGTTCACTGACAGGCCTCTGACTTGCTCCTGTCCTCATTCGAGCCCAACAACACACATGCTTCAGGGGATCTAGGTCCTATTTCAGCAAAACGAGCACCTGCATGCCATGGACCCTTGGGACCACTCACGTAGCTGAAATGCCAGATTCACCACAGCCCTGGAAGGGGAGGGGTCCGCTCAGCACCAGTGGCTTCTTCCCTTCCTCATGTTGCCCTGCTGTCTTCCATGTGGCCAGGCCCTCTCCTTTCATTGCGATTTCATGGCAGCAGGAGACTGCTTGAAAGTTTCCCCAAGCCAGTCAGATTCAGGATGATTGTGACCCCTGGAGGGAAGGGAGGTGAGAGCAGTTGGGAAGGGGTACACAAGGGGGATTTTAACTATTGGCAATGCATTATTTTGTAAACTGAGTGCTGGACACTCAAGTATCCGTTATATTCTTTGTACTTTTCCACGTGCCTTAAATAATACATATTTTAAAGTCTGTTTTTCTGCTTGCTGTCAAGCAAAGTTTAGCATTTAGATTTTCCTTCCCTCATTGAATTGACTAGTAACTTTAGTTATAAGTAATTTAGCCCCAAATCAACCTAATGAGAATTTCACCTTTGAATTCAATGTATTTGATGTCAAAGGACTTAACTTCTAACCCAGAAGTCTTTAACAAACCCTTGCCCTCACTCTTCTGATTACTTAAATAAAGGCAGGTAATTCCTTTTTCCTGTTTACTTTGTGGTAGAGTTCTGAAGAGAGAAGCTGATACGTTTTGTGAATATTTGGAAGTCATTGGGTAAAAGCCATGGTGTAATAGTTTGTAGTAACAGAGGAGTGAATGGCAGGTGCTGCCGACCGTGCCCCTGTCCCCTGTCCCCGCTCCAGCTGACCAGCCTTTTCCCCTGCACTGTCAGGCATCATGGTCTAGGAGTTGAGGCAGCTTGGAAGGCAGGCACACCTGTGTTCAAATCCTAACTCCCTCCCTTACTACCCGCTAGGTCTTATGTTTCCCCGAACATAAGACCCAGCCGGAAAATAAGCCCTTGCGTGATTTTAGGTGCCAAAATGTGGCACTTTGGCATACTGAATAGTTTAAGCTGAAGGAGTTTGTGGAAAAGGCACCCTTCTCCCTGAAACAGGTCATAAAACCCTCATGTGAGGGGTGCGTGCCCTCCATATCCTGGAGGAATCATGCTACGGCTTATTCTCCAGCTAGGTCTTATTTTGGGGGAAACATGGTGGATGTGTGACCTTCGGCAGATCTTCTCTCCTCTGATTCTGTCAAGGGGGAAAACACTTCCCTTCCAAGATTGTGAAAATTGAGGTAATACATGTAAAGTACTTTGCACATAGTAGGTGCTTAACAAATACTTGTGTGCCCTAGCCTCCAGATCACATCAGTTATTTGTTTTTCTTTTCCTCTAGTGGTTCTGTTCATCGGAGTCAAACTGACTTTGCCTTTGTAGCTGGTCACTGGATTGCTAAATTTTTCTCCTCTCAAACCTGCGGGAGCTTGGACCCCTATGAAGGTCAGGAGGTTGTGGTGCGGGCCATGTTGGCCTTCCTGCAGAAGCACCTTGGTAAGGAAAGAACTGGAGCTTATGGGGCAGCCGTGGGCTCCCTTAGATTTCCGTGCACAGCAGTCTGTACTGACATGTCTCAGATCAGGGAGATTTATAGCAGATGGAAAACCTGAGTGAAGGAGTTACATAGATTTGTAGAAAGAACACTTAGCTGCGGGTTTGGAGATCCTGACTGTCTCTTACTACCTGAATGACCTTGGCCTCATCGTTTAACTTCTCTGAGCCTCGGTTTCCTCACTGTAAATGGAACATTCATCTCTCCCTACTCCATTACCTCTGTCCTAACTCATTATCACTTACCTGATCTGTATTGTGGAGGAGGGTATGATGATAAATGGCCTAAATTTGTAAAGTGCTTTAAAAAAACAAAGCATTGGGAGGATTATGACTAGTATCATAAATCACAGACCAGCTAAATGGCAAGGCCTGTAGAGGTCGTTGGTCCAGCCTCCAACCCGTAGGAGATCTCCTCTCATATCTTCCCTGTCACACGGTTGGGCAGCGTGGAGAGTGCCCCGTCACCAGTGAGGGTCAGCTCTTGCCACCACTGGAAACTTGAGTGGTTTTAAGAGCTGATATTCTAGTTAGGCTTTTCTTTTGGTTTAAGGACTAGAGAGAGTCCCAAATTTACCTCAAAGAAAAGGGGGGTTTGTTTATGAAAGCACACCTTGCCAAGTTGAAAGTGAAAAGTGACAGGAACCAAGGTAGCGCCCAGGACCGACTTCTCTCTCTCTGTCTGTCATGGGCTCAGTCTCTGTCTTTCCCTCTTATACCATCTGTTTCTCTTTGCTCTGGTCTGAGTTTTTCTTCTTTCTACTCCATGTTTTTTTCTCTTGCTAATAGCATCTACTTATTCATAGCTCCTGCTTCCTCATAACTTCAGTCGGCATGGACCACTCTAGGTTTGTTCCCTCCACCTTGTAGCATCCTTTCATCTTCAGCTCCCACTTCTCATGGCCTCATTTTCTTGGATTTCTTAGGCCAGATTCCCAAGACAGATAACTTAATTGTCCCAGCTCATCTTTACCTGCCAAGACACAGTGTAGGCCACTGCCCAAACTAGGCCTGGGGCTCTCTTGACCAGAATGGAGTAGGCTACCATTTTCTGCACGAGGCTGATCCCTCAGCAGGTGCTGTGTGTAGGGCATGTTCCTCCAGCAGGGAGCCGGACTGGCCTGGATTTCTAAGGTTTGACCTAACACTAGCCTAAGACTTTGTAACTCCCCGCTTGCCTTGGTTATCCCACAAGGGCTACCCAGAGACGCCTCAGACCCCTTGCACCTGGCAGCTCTTCAGATATTTGAAGCACCCATATTTGAATTGCGCTCTCTTGAGTGTTTCTGTTCATTTGGCTGAATGTCTGTGGCACCTCTACCTGTTCACCTCAGTTTCCCATGTTGCCATTTATTATCACCTTTGGATGCACTGCTGGTCTGTGCACCTTTTTTTTTTTTAAGGTTTTTATTTTATTTTTTTTATTGGGGAATTGGGGGGATGGGAACAGTGCTGGAGAATTGGGGTGAGGGGAACAGACAAGTTGCTGTCGTTTTGTTCTTCAGTCTAGTTGTGGAGGATGTTGCTTCACTGACTCAAGTTGGTACCATCATTGCGCTCTTCCCGGGTGAGGCACATTAGTCGCCGGCTTCTGGATGGCCGCTCACTGCGGCTGCTGGCTACATACGGTAGCCCATGGCAACCCACTGCCACAGGGGCTGCAGCCTACGCCGTTGCCAGCGACTCATAGCAGCCCATGCTCCAGGTCGAGCTGTTGTTCAGCATCTTAGCTGTGGAGGGCAGTGTCACTGACCCTCATATGTGGGATCCGAACCGGGGCCCTCTGGCATCCCACGCCAGTTCTTAACCATCGCACCACTTGGCCGGCCCCCTGGTCATGCACCTTTTAATGTGCGGTGCCCTGACTTGAATACGACTTGCTAGATATGGTCTGACCAGGGCCTGGTTCGGCAGTACTGTTCCTCCATGCTCTGGGCACTAGACTTCTAGTTGGATAGTCTGAGTGCATTACCATTTCCTGCAAGTGCCTAACAACCTTGGTATGGATTGAGTTTGCTTTTTAAACAAATCTGTCCTCTTAGGAACATATTGACTTTTTGAACCTAAATTTGCATTTTTATATTTACGCCTATTCATTGCATCCTGCTTATCATGAGCCATTTTTCCAGCCTAGGTTAGGGATTTTAGGATTAATAGAGACCTTAGGGCATCATTCTTATCACCTGGTAGGAGAGGAATGGGTCCATGTCTCCAGATTTTAAAGGGGCCTGACTACATGGTCCTCAGCCCACTTTCCATTTCCTCTTAGGCACCGTATCATTAGGTAAGAGCTAAAGATGACAGGGCAGCCCACCATGGCATGATTGGGCTCCCTTTAGTAGCAGTGTCTGTTGAGCTAAGGTGCTCCTTACTGGAGACCCACAGAAGAGGAGATGGAAGGTAGGAGAGTCTTAGACCATAGGAAGAGTGTGAGGGCTTACTTCATGCCAGGCCTTCTGCTAAGTACTTTAGATGCATTGTCATGTATAATCCTGAAGATGGCCTTTTCCAGTAGGTACTTCTATTATTAACTCATTTTACAGAATAGGATACTGAAGCTTAGAGCATCTAAGTAATTCGTTCTTGGTTATCTGTTGAGTAAGTGGCAAAGCCAGGATGTATCCCAGGCTATCTGATTCCAAAGCCCAGGTGCTTGATTGCTCTACTGTTCTGACAGTGACTCTGATGACCAAGGAAGACAGAGGACAGGCCCCTAACTCAGACCAGAAGGAAAGGACAACCAGGAAAGGAGGCCTCCTAGACAAAGCCATGCTTGTCTTTAACCTTCACGGATGAGTAGGGTTCACCAGGCAAGGAAGGGGCAAGGTCTTCTAGACAGAAGGCACAGAGGCTCGTGTGGGCCTGGTCAGTTTTGAGAAACTGTGTAGTGTACCTGGAGCTTAGGATAGTGAATTGCTGGGAGATAAAGGTAGAAAACTGGGCAGAAGCCAGATCTAGAGGTCCATGTATTTGCTGAAATAAGTTGGAATTTTATTCCACAGGCTGTGAGAGTCCTTGGTGGATTCTCAGCAGCGGAATGTCATGATTAGACTTGTATTTTGCATCCTGGCTACATGGAGAATGGGCAAGATGGGGCAAGATGGGAGGCAGAGAGCCCAGGTAGGAGGCTCTTGCAATATCCAAGAGTTGAGAGATAAGACAAAGTCTGAAAAAAGGCAGAGGCTCTCTGCTTGGGTTAACTAACTAGCTTTGCAAAGAGAGGAAAGCTTTTTGATGGCCACACAGTGCATTGTCACATGGGAAACTAAAATAGGCTGTAGGTAGCTCAACTGAACCTCTCACCCCTCCTAAAAAATACCTTGAGAGCATGTACGCCGCAGACAGGCATATCATCTTCCGCTGAGAAGATTGGTGCTTCTTTCATACTAAGTACATGCAGCTCCTCTCTCATCCTGTTCCGCCCCTGTTCCACTCTCCTGGAAGACTGTCACACCTTCCCCTTTCTCTTCAAACCTCTAACACCTCCTCCCCTATCCTGTCTCTCAGCTGATTAACTTTGCCTCCCACATCACCAAGAAAAGAGAAGCAGTATTTCCTCGGAGTCCCAACACGCCTTCAGCCCGCCTTCGTGCACATACTCAGCTTCCGGGCTGGTTCCTCAAGTTTCCTACTCAGTTACCTACCTCAGGCCAGCCCCTTCACCTACACACCAGCTTTCACCCCTTTTGGTCGGCTCCAGGTGGTGGTGCCAGCAGTGCTTTTCTCTTTATCTTGGATCATCAATTTTCCCCTCTCTACCGGTTCATTTCATGCTGAAATTTCTCTTAAAAAATATCTCTCGACCCCGTCAGTTACCACCCCGTTTTCCTGTGCAGCATAACAGCAAAACTCTTTAAATGAATGGCTGTCTTCACTTTCTCTGACTCTTACCGTCTCATTCTCTCTCTTTTTTTTTTTTTTTTTAAGCTTGAGCCATCCTGCTACCTGTTGGCAGCTCAGCGGCTGCTCAGCTCGGGCTGGACTCGAACCGCTGTTGCTCAGAGCTCAAACTCTTGAGCGAGCTCTTAACCAGCTGAGCCACTCGGCCGGCCCTTCATTCTCTCTTTAACCCCCTCCAGTCAGGCTTTTGCAGCCCAGTTCTCCATGAAAACTCCTTTCGTCAAGGTCGCCAGTGACCTTGACCTTCACACTGCTCAATCCAGTAGTTCTTATTCCTTGTCTCACGGGAACTCTCAGCAGCTTCTGACAGAGTAGATGATGCCGTCCTCTGTGAAACCCTGTAAAGATCGGTCCAAGACACCACCCTGGGGCTCTTCTATCCCATCATCTGCTCCTCCTCGGTCTACTTTACTGCTTCCAGGGCTCGGTGCTTGGATTTCTTCTCTATCTTTATGCCATAATGTCATCTGGTCTCATGGCTTCAAATGCCATCTCCATGCTGACAACTCCCCAATTTATATCTCCAGTTTGATCTCTTCCATGAACACCAGATCTGTATAACCTGCTACTCAGTATTTAATAGACATCACAAGCAAAAACGATTTCAACTGCAGGCTTTCCCTTCTCAACTAATAGTAACTCCATCCTTCTGGCTACTCAAGCCAGTCCTCGTTCGCGTCTCTTCTCTTGCACCTCCTGTCCTGCCCCTCCGAATATCCTATCGGCTCTACTTTCAGAGTATATGGGGAATCTAAACACTCATCATCACCTCACAGTTACCACCCTGCCCAAGTCATCTGTCACCTAAATTACTGTATTAGTTTCCTAACTGATGTCCCTACTTCCACCCCTGCCTTCCTACACAGTCATTTATTTTTTTAGAATTTTTATAAGTGTATTTGAGCCAAACTGATGACGATGCCGAGAAGCAAGATCTTAAATGCTTGTGCACAGTCTTTTGTTAACAGCCAGAGCAGTCCTGTTAGAAAGTAAGTCAGCTCTTGTCTCTCCTCTGCTCAGAATCCTCCGGTGTCAAAGCCAAGGTCCTTTGTCCCGCTGGGCCTATGTGATGCGGTCCTCCCGTCCCTCCTGACCTCTCCTGCTGCCCTTCCCCTGGCCTACTTTACTTTCGCTGCACAAGCCTCCAACACTCCAGGCACGCTGTGGCTTCAAGCCTTTGCACTGCTGTTCCCACTGCCTGGACCTTTTTTTCTATACAGTCCCGTGGCTCACTCCCACCTCCTTCACGCCTGCTCAGATCTCACCTCCCCAATGAGGCCCACCTGACCAGCCTTTTTAAAACATTGTGCCATCCCTACCTCCCCTCAGCCCCGTTCCCCCAGCCAGCACCGCTGCTTCTCTTACCTGGCTCTCTTTTTTTTCCATAGCATTTATCACCTTTTCACATTCTATATAGTTGGTTATGTTTATTATTATCTCTGCCTACTAGGTTGTGAGCTCTATGAAGATGGGAATGTCTGTTGGTTTGTGGATACCCTTTTGGCACCAAGAACAGACTGGGGCCCATTGTGGGCACGCTCAGTGTTTTTTGAATTAATGAACGTGTAGCACTAATTTGTCGAGGCCGTAGTCCATGCCAGGTTCTTGGCAGGGCACTGGGATCCTAAGGTGCAGCAGAGTGGTCCCTGCCTTCTGTCCCAGGTTTTCTTTGTTTTCAACAAGGACACCATTTGCCTGCTCAGCAGTGCCCCACTCCCTCAGCCTGAGGCCTTGGACCCTTTCTGACTGTTCTTACCATGTGGTTAGACCCATCTGCCCATGATCCCAGGACCCTCTCTTGACTCCTACCCAGTGTTTTGCTGCTTCATGATGTCACCACCCTCCTCCTCCTGCCCTTCACTGAGGTGGCCCTGGATTTGCATCCACCTGGCTGGTGTGCGAAGGACCTCTCCTTGCCCGGCAACATCCCTGAGCCTGGAAGTAGGCTTTCCATTTGTCACCCTTTCTGACCAAGGTTTGAATTCTGTCTCTGCCACTTACCAGCCGTAATGACCGTGGGCAAATCAGGTGACTTCTTTGAGCCTCAGTTTCCTCAACTGTAAAATAGGGCTAATAACAGTACGTAGCTCATGGGGCTATTAGGAACATTAAATGGAACAGTGCATGTTTAGCACAGCTCCTAGAATGAATTATAATGAATTATCCTTCCATAAATATTACGTTTTTGTTATTATTATCACTATTGAGTTATTGTGGATTCAGCAAGTGATTTCTAAAGCACATTTATAAAGACACTGAATGAATCATAGTTGTTACTGCCACCACCCTCACAACCACTGTCACCAATCCTTTTAGTATCCTAGGTGTTCCTTTCCCCAGGATGTCCCACAAAGTCCATGGTCGGTACTATAATCTAACCTTACAACGATTTACCTGACTTTCCTGGTTTTTTTTTCAGACCTGAAAGAGGACTATGACCAATGGAACAATCTCATTGAAGGCATTGGACCATCGCTTACCCCAGGGGCCCCTCATCATCTGTCCAGCCTTTAGGCACAACTCGCCATTTGCAAAAGGTCACTGAGCTGTGTTCCCGTTTGGGGCCTGCCTAGGGACACTCATAGCCTCCTATCAGGAAGTGGTCGACATGGCCCCTCTTCACAGATCAAAAGGATGTAATCACACTGCTGATTGGATAACTGGGTACTTTGATCTTGGGCTTGTTAATCTTAAATTCACAGTGGGACTTGGATCACTTACTGACTGGCACACTGACTTTCTGGGACCTGATGGTGTGGGGAACAAGCAATGAGGTGGGGCTGCGGTGCCCCCATGCTCCAATCTGAGCAGTATGGGCGCTATTAACCCGCAGCCTTGGGCCAGTGCGGCTTCTGCAGTGGAAGCAACAAAGCCAAAGGGGGGAGTGGAAATTCCTGCCTCCAGGACCGTTAGCCCAACCTGGCACTCTCTCTTCCCGCCTCTCAAACTCCTCCCTCCCCAGGTCCACTTGGTGAGTTCTCAGCACTTCAGGTAACTTTCTAGGATATGGACTATCATCAGACTTTCTGTGTTTATTTTTAAGCCTTCTCAATGCATGAAACATAGTACTGGGCACTTAGGGTAAGTTATCCTTGCGAGCCCATGGAGGAGGGCAGGAGGCATTGCCCTCACAGCACAGGAAGAGAAGGTGAGCTCCAGAGCGGGGCCTCAGCAGCTCTGGCTGTTGGAATTTGGCTGAAATTGTATCTTGTCAGGAAACAACACAAATAGGTTGAGGTAGAAAAGACAGAATAACAGTGTTACGTAGGCCATTCGAACACACTCTTGTCACCCGAGGGAGGTACAATAGTTTGGTAGCTAGAGGTTAGGAGGCCACCCCTGGAAAGGCCTAGGAACACTCTGGGCTTGACTCTTACCTCAGATCTCATGAGGTGCTGTAAGCTGTGTTCAGAATCAGGATGCTGTAAGCTGTGTTCAGAATCAGGGTGCTGTACGTTGTGGGTTTTCTGGCTCTGAGGCCCTAGCCCCAAATTTAAGTCAAGATTTGGATTGAATTTTCATTCTGTTCCATTTATAATATGAATGATATTAATACTCATGTTTGCCTAATGATATGTTGGAATATTCTCTATTTAATCTGCATTAGAGCAAGATGGGGAGCCATCTGGAAGGAACTTTTCCTTCTGTCTTTCTTTGTTCGCTTATCACTTATGTCCATGTGAAAAAAAAAATAACTTGAAAAGGAAAGGAAGTCTTTAAAGCTGCCTGGGAGCATCAACCAGAAACACCTCTGTCCACTACTGCGGACTTCTCACCTCGGTCCAAGTCGAGGGCCCCAGAGGAGGCAAGAGCAAAAGAAATGCGTCTCTACACAGTAGGTCCAAGGCCAGCGCCACCAAGCAAATGGACTAGATCTCCTGTCTGTCCACAGCTGTTCTTTCTAAGAGGTGAAGCAGCAGATCCACGGAGGCTGTGAACCTTGGAAGAATCTGAATTTTAGTGACACGTAGCGTAAGGAGAATATCATTAAAGCCTTGGGCTCTAGAGTTCGTTAGCCTGGTTTTGAGTCCTGGTTTCACCACCATTCACTGGGTAAATCGGAGCAAATTATGTTCCCTTTCCAATCTAGGTTCCTGCGTTTCTAAGGTGGGGTCTGCATTATGAATAGTTAGGAGGATTAAGTGAGAGGATGTGTAACCCATGGGTTATTTAAAAGTATGTTTCATACTTTGCAAACACGTGAGAATTTTCTAGTTACCCTGTAGCTATTGTTTTCTAGTTGAATTGCTGTTGGTCAGAGAAAATAACCCAGATGGTTTTCATCCTGAAACGTGCTTGGCCCAGTGTGAGGTCCGTTTTATAAATGTTCCATATATGCTTAGAAAGACTACATCCTGTAGCTGTTGGCTTGCTTGACAACACATGATGAGTCTCCTGTGAGAGCGCATACAGATATGTAATAGGACCTTCCAACCCCGAACTGGGGATCAGAGCCCCTCAGCACTCATGGAACCAGCAGATGCCGCCCCTTATGCCTGGGGCTGGTTCTGCAGATGCCGGTTCTGGCAGCATTAGCACATGAGACCCAGCTTCTACCTTAGACGCATACCTGATGCAGGTATATTTTGTAAAGACTGGGAACCTCCCTGGAGAAAGAAGTCGTTTGGAGACTGGGTCCATCTCTCCTCCATTCAGTTCCTATTCTGGTAATGACTCATTTATCCAGTAACATTGGCGTAGGTGAATTTTCCATATAACAGAAAATTATCCTACATGCCACAAAACACAATATTGACTATTTTGAATGGTAATTTACTAAAAAGATAACACACACGCTTCTTTAATGTGAATTGACCTCATTTAACTTTTTAGGATATTTCAGTCAGGATAGACTAGATTATATGGTTGTAACAAGCAACCCCCCAAAACAACACAGGTTTATTTCTTGCCGATGCTACTTGTCCTCTGTGGGTCAGGGGGCTCCGCGCTGCGTCATTTTTATCCTCACTTGGGATCCAGGCTGGCAGAGCGGTCACTACCTGGAAAGCATTGCCAGCCCCATGGTGGAGCTAGGAGACAGCATGGTAAGCACCCACTAGCTCTTAAAGCTTCTGCCCAGAAGTGACACTATTTCCATCACATTTCACTGGCAAAAGCAAGTCCTAATACTCCATACCATCCCAAGCGAGCAAAAATGTCTGTGACCAGGTCTAATGTCAGAGCAGTGGCACCCTCTGGCCGGTGAAGATATAGATAGCTCTTGGTACCTACACTACATGGCCCCCAACAGCTCTCCTCTTAGTTTGATTGCTTTTTGTAGTTTGTGTTGTCCCCCTGGTGGCCAAGCAGTGGCCATTACTCTTCATTATCTTTCATGTGCCAGCCCCTAGCAGCTCTCCCTGTTCTCCAAATTATAACTCCTGATCAGCCATGTTACTTACAACTGTCTAAAGTAAACCTAGGGAGTGCCTGAGAGGGCTTTAGGGACTCTTCCTGCAACTAAAATGTACTGTTAGTGCTCAGATTTTTGTCTCCCAAGTACTAACCAGACCCGACCCTGCGTAGCTTCTGAGATCAGATGAGATCAGGCACGTTTAGTGCTTAGATTCTGTAACCCTTCTTTTGGATGCTCAGAAAGGGTATCAAGGCCTTTGGTTCTTTGTCCTGGTTTTTGGTTGGCTTTCAGGGAATTGAAGGATACCAGATAAATGGCCTTTGGATAAGCAAGGTAATCCTGCATATTAATTGGCACATGCTGATAAACTGCATTCTAGTGAATCCTTTCCAAAAGCGAAGTCTTGGGTTTCTTTTGCATCTTGTTCCCCATCCTATTACAGAGCCTTACTCATGGAGGCCTCCTAGTGGTATATTGTGGGGTTTCTGTGCTAGGAATGGTGTGTCAGGAAGTGAGATAAGTAAATACAGGATGGATTGAGATTCCTCATCCCCACTTCCTGGGTGTATCAGGCTGCTGCTGTTTACTTGAATTCCTGCTGTACCCCTAGCACAGTCCCCAAACCCCTTTCCAGCGTGTGTCCTCACACAGCTGTCCCTTGCCCTCCCCCAAAAAGACTACTGGACTCCTGAAATGTCAATTGATAGACTCTGACTTCACATCTTGGCCTGTGGGGACCTTCATCTCGCCCCCCGTCCCCCCTTTTCTTCTGGGGCACCACTTACCCCTGGGCCTGCAAAGTGACAGAGGGACAGAGGCCATACTCTGTACTCAGGACCCAGCCCTTATTAGGAAGCTCACTTTCTGTTCTATCACAGTCAGATGCAAAGGCCAAGTGTCCCTGGCCATAGCTACATGGCAGAATGACAATGATGATGATCATCATCGTAATAGCCAACATTTATAGATCCTGTGTGTCAGGGACTGTGCTTTACATGCATTATCTCATTTGCTTCTTATAGCAACCCCAGGAAGTCAGGGGGTATTAACCTTTTTTTAATTTATTTTTATTGGGAAACTGTGTTTTTCCAGGACCCATCAGCTCCAAGTCAAGTAGTTGTTTTCAATCTAGTGGAGGGCACATCTCAGTGGCCCATGTGGGGATCGAACCTGCAACCTTGGTGCTATGAGCACTGTGCTCTAACCAACTGAGCTAACCGGCTGCCCCTTAGCCTCATTTTATGGATAAGGAAACAGAGCCTTAGAGAAGTGATTTGATCAAGCTCTCATAGCAAGAGTTTGGCAAAGCTGGGACTTAGGCATCAAAATCCAAACACTTAATCACTGTGCCATATTGCCTAATACATATAACTGGTTTTGCACCTTTCCCTGTCTCTTTCAGCTGTCAGAGCATGAGGAATGTCATTTCATGAGAGTTGGAGTCGAGAATGTCAAATTCTCCAGCAATTTTTACATGTATCGAGATTCAATGATATCTTTAGCACCACTGAGAAGTGGGCTGGGGGAAAGAATCGAGCTTCACTGAGGACTGGGTCTGGTGCTCTTGATTTGATAGATAGGGAAGCCGTTCAGGGATTAAGAACATGGTCTTTGAAATCAGACAGCTCCAACACTACCATCCTGTGACTTTATGCTAATTTACTAACTTCTAGGAGCTTCAATTTCCTCATTTATAAAATGGGAATTCTAATAGCATTTACCTCTTAGAGTTGTGATAAATGAGATAATTCTTGTAAAGAGCTTAGCACAGTGTCTGTACTAAGGGTTTAATGAGCATTAGCTTTGACTAGTATTGTTTTGTTTGGTCCTCCTTACATACCTATCAGGTCAGGTATAATTTGCCATTGTCCTGAATGGCTCCAAATGCTCTTGGTCTAAGTTCTTATTCCAGCTTCTCTATTCTCTTTGCTCTGATTTCCCTGCTCCCTCATATCAGAAAGCAAAACCCACACTCTAGTTCTAGCCTTGCAGCCTCTCTTCACCACCAGGAAGAGTCAACACTCTTAGGTGCTAGTTTGGGTTTTAATTTCACACCTGATTATTCAAACGCACATGTCTGCACACCAGATGTCAAAGTCCTAAAATGTGGAATGGGAGAATCAGAGGAGAAGGTCTGTATAGAGGTTGGCCAAAGGGAAGAGGACCTGAGGATAGGGGTTTGTAGTAGAGGCTAGTCGCATCCATGTTTGTCTGCTGCCTTTGAGGCAGGGGTCGGGGGTTCAAGTGCCCATGACCTCGGGAAACTCCCCAGGCCTGAGAATGGCCTGTGTGATACCTCTGCACAGCTCTCTCCCTCACTGCCATATCCAACTTCCTACCAAGTCCTTCTGTTTCTTCCCTCTTGGTGGTTCTCACTCAGCCCATCCTTTGCATTTCATTTGATAAAGTCCCTCCATTAACTCATCACGGAATCATTTTTACAGTTTCCTGGACTATGACCTCTTTTTCCTCTGCATTCTGCTGCCAGTTCTGCCTGAAACACCACTTTTGCATCAACATACCAGCCTGGCAAGGTGGTCTAATGGAAAGAGGACCGAACACATTGTCTGGAGCCCTGGGTTCTTGTCTCAACTCTCACAGCCTTTCTCGCTCTGTGACCTCGTATGTATGCTTTTCCGCTCATGACTTCCGTTTCCCTATCTGTAAACGGGTGTGGAGTGGTGGTTGTCAAATTGGCTGATCCCTAAGGCCCCTTCAGCTCTGGCATTTCTCGCCTCTGTCACTGAGTTGTCAAGAATCTGCAGGACCCCCTTTTTCCTGTAGAATTGCATCTCACCGCCTCATTCTGCCTGGTCTTGCCTCACCTCTCCTGTCCTTTGCTTCTTCCCGTGCACTCTTTTTGCCCCACAGTCTCCTTAATATGCCCACCCATCCCCAAACACGTATGCCCTTTCTCATGGTGTTTTCTTGCTTGCAGGGCCTTCCCAACCTTCTTTCTGTATATCCAAATCCTGGTAATCCTTTTTTAGGCCCATTTCTAGTTCCACCTCTTCTATGAAAGCCTTCTTGATTAAATTCAACTAACATTTGATCTCTTGGCTTCCTGCACCCAAGAGAAATATATTCTGTGCCATATTTAGTACTGAACTTCATTACATTATTCCAGGAGCAGGACCCATCTGTTGGATAGAGAAGCATCCTCCTGTTGACTGACATGGGGAGCTGGGATCGCTGTCCCCTCCTCCCTCGCCCCCTGACCCTCACCAGCAGGCTTCTTGTTCCCCAGCCAGACTTGGGAACAGCTGGTATTCGCCCAGCCCTCTGAAGTCTCCAGCTGCCCCTGCTTCCTTTGGGTTTTCTCAGCTCCCAGCTGTGGGGCCCAGGGCAGAGCCAGCCACACTGCAGCCAGGGGCAAACGGAGGTACCTGGACATGTAGCAGTGGAGAGTTAGAAGGAGGGCGGAATGGAGCACAAATCACACCAGTGTTGAAAAGGAGGGAAAGCAGTTTGCCAGCTTATTTTTCCCATCTTGCTTTCATCTAAAAAAAGAAGCTGCTCTGAAACACAGTCCTCCTCAGCCTGCTAAGCCAGATGGTCCCTAGATGCCTGCCAAGTGTGAACATATAATTATTCATCTTCCTAGAATCACACCCAGGTCTGAATCTAGACACTGACACTTTTTCGCCATTTGATCTGGA